CTTGGGCGAGAAATCATCGAGAGAAGTCATTGTTTACAAAAGTTGTTACGCCCTTATTCCATATCTATCTAGATATGCGATAAGCAATAAGCTTGAACTCCCAAGTAGCATTTCTTGTTTTATTGCACTCTATTAGTGGTTATTGAGATCAATTTTATAAAACCGTCAATAAAATTAATAGCTCCAGCACAACCTTTTGATAACCGCTATAAGATCATCTTACAGCTTAGTGGACCACTCTTGATAAGGTTTATAAAGCATGTTTGAGAATCATAATAAAGCTGTCTTAAAACCTTTTGTCATAAAGCCTCATACTCTACAAAAGGTTCTCATAGCCTCTTTAAGAGCAATATTGTATCCAAGCAGCTTTATTACGCTTTGGTGAAAATCAGTTATAAAGCCAATTTAATTTTTATTGCATCAAAGCAACCGCCATAAATTAGCTTGTTGTTGTTCTGTTCTCCTGAAACTTTTTTTCCAAATGGAAATCTTTAGCGGTAAAAATAGGTTTGAGTGTTGGTGTCAAGATCACCATGCAATCAATTTTGTTTCATGGCGGCATAAGTGAAAATCTTAAAGAAAATAAATGGTTTTTTAGAAGTTCCAAAACATATGCGCTTAAAATGTTATCGTGTATATTGAGATAATATGAGCGTTAAATAAATGCGCCTCCAAAATAATTCAAGTTAACAAAAAAGATTGTTTCAGAAATCAAATGAACTTGATGGAATCACCTTAATTTTACTGAAAATAGATCTCAATACATAAATTCATACCAATGCACGCTGGAAATCATTTCGGATCTCTTATTTAGCCATTATTTTATTGAAATTTCTTGGATTTTATTCCAAGGTTAATGGCATTTTCATAATGACAATATGGCGACAGAGGACAGCAGCGAGAAAAACACCAAGCGCAATTTCTTAAAATGTCTAATGCTTACATTGCACACTGGGTCAGGAATGCAACCTAGCGGATCAAAATTAATAACTCCGAAACGAAGCATTTCCGCGACTTGGTGTCTTGGGCAAAATTTCTCGTCATAAAAAGGACTATCTATTGACATAAACAAATAGTTCAAAACTCTTCCGCAAAGAGGGTGCCACAATCTAACTTCTTTCTCTGACGTTTTGGAGACTTGATGTCTTGGGCAAAGTTGTTTATCTTGACAAAATGAACAGCTCTTTCAAAGACGTTAAATTTCCATAGTCTATTGGTTCCAAGTTATATGGAGTTAAAGAAAAAATGTCGAAAATATGGTTTTTTCTTTCTGTTTCGGGTTTTTTGCTTGCAACTATATAATGTTATATTTTTCTCTTATGCAAATACATTAAATAAATAGCTTTTGTGAAGAAACATACTGGATTAAGCTTCAAATTTCAAAGATATTGTTGAAAAAACGAAAAAAACACAATTTTTGAACTTTAATATCTCCCAAAGCGCAAAAAATCGCAAACTGACATTTTTAGCAAAAATTAAGCAATGCTCGATAAACAAAATATCAAAATTTGAGAGAGGTATATTTTGGTGTCAAGATAAACAACTTTGCCCAAGAAGTTAGATTGTGGCACCATCTTTGCGGAAGAGTCTTGAACAATTTGTTTATGTCAATAGATGGTCCTTATTATGATGAGAAATTTTGCCCAAGACACCAAGTCGCGGAAATGCTTCGTTTCGGAGTTATTAATTTTGCTCCGCTAGGTTGCATTCCTGGCCCAGTGTGCATAGGATAAGAGCAGAACAGAAAAGCATAATGCATGATTTTATTACGAGAACTATTTTCTTTTTACAAGAGCAATTCAAGCTGAACTTTGCATTAGGTCCTGAGTAACATTGATCGATTCCCTTCGTCGACTTTCTCTTTCGTTAATAACTTATTCACCGAACCGTTTCTTGATGTGCTTGTCGTATTGGATGCTAGATAAAAGCTTCTTTTATCGATTTATGTGCTGAAAATATCTGGGAATGTCTTTACATGACCGTGGGGATGCAAAGAGAAAGTCGACGAAGAGAATCTGTCAATATTACTTAGGACCTAATGCAATGTTCAGCTTGAATTATTATTTTTTATTTGAGGGCAAATGTATATTCCTGTTCTACGGGTGTAACCGATGAATTTTACAAACATTTGGAAAAAGTTTTGAATGGTACATTAACCTTTATGAAAAGTTATGCGTGATTTCAACCTTTTTGTCCTAGTACTGTCACCATTCCATGTATTTCGACCAAGATTCGACAGTGTCACCCCATGTATATGCGAGCGAGAACGGAAGAATTATAGAGACTGCTGACGTTTTTCTTACGCACAGTACGTCGCGTATACGTATATACGAAATGTTTTCATGCTCATGCTAACAATTTTGTTGATTTTCTTTGCGCTCCGCTTGGAAGTACCGGAAAGTTTTGATTCTTTTCTATGTTGTAAAAATAAACCGCCTATTTACATTTCTGACAAGTTGCAACTGAATGCTTATAATTGTTTTAAAATAACTGTTTCATGGCCAACTAGTTTTATTGCGCTTACTTATAAAGCAATAAAAGGATTTATTTTTGGGTTTTATAAGGGTAATTCATATTGCTTTTTTTTATACTTCAAAGCAATCATAAAACCTTTCATAAGTGAAAATAGCATAAGCATCAGTTGGTTTTTTCATTAGCTTTATAGGGGTTGTGTAGATAGCTATAAGATGTTTCATAACTTGCATTGTATATGACCGTCATAAAGCAGTAGGTTATGGTTGCAGCTGCAATAAAACCTTTATAAATTTTGAATATAGCCAAGCAGCTCTAGATTTGTTACTTGGGCTGTGAAGAAGAAGAAGAAGAAGAAGAAGAAGATATAGGTAGTAAAAGGGGTATCAAAAATCAAAAATAATTCGTTGAACAAACTTTGTTCAGCACAAATAAAGACTGTACTCGAAAAAAATGCAACAGACAAAACTGATCACCTAAAAATTCATTTAAGGTCGGATATTTTTGAAACTCTCAGGGAATAAATAAATACATCTTAGCTATGTTTTTTGCAAAGTTGGTTTATTCAGCCTCCTTTCCTAGGCTAAATGCCCGCACCTTGGACTTAACGTTACCCATCAAATCCTGTGCAACACTTGCGCCATCTATCTTACACACTTTCATCCACTCTTTCTTCAAATACTTGTCTTTTTTGACAACCTTAGCTGTTTTCCGGAGCTAACTCTTCATAATCTCCAAGAATTTATCTATTGGGCGAAGTTCTGACCAGTTATGTGGATTTGCCTCCATTGGCACAAAAACAACATCGTTGCCAAGTAACCAAAAGTTATGATTAAAGGCTCTCTGTGGCTTAAGACTAGTAACATTGAAGAACCAGTAATGCCAGCGAGCAATGTCGGTTTGCTTTTTAGTCATATGCACAATAGTGTAGCTTATAAACCTTTTAGTTCATGATCAAGCTCACTCAGCAGAATTAATCATGCCTCAACTTCAACTCTCCGCAACTGTCCAGATTCCTGATTCCTTCATCAATCTGGTCTGAAAAATTCCATTCTTCAAGTCGGGTTCAAATCAAAGCATCAACCTTTGGCCACGAGTGGTAGATACAGGTAAGTTGACCCGAACCGACGACGACATACGGTGATAAAAATCAAAGAAAACAAATTCCATTGCTTCCAGCTATTTGAGAATGTGGACTCTTAGTCCGAGCCATTGCCGCCGCCTTCATCGTCGCCACACAGCGTTCAAAGAGCTCCTGCCCGGTTGCATGATGGGAACATACCACCACCAACGACGTGCAGGCAAAGTTCAAGTTGAATTCCTTGCCCCCCGCTCATTTCTCATCGTTTCAGTAGAGGAGCCCTTTTGACATCGGTGACTTTTTGTCCCCATCGTCGTCGTCGTAGTCATCCGTATTAACTGCATGCATGCAAGCATGCTCAGTAGCTTTACTCTTTCCCTCGATTAAGAGCCGAGGCGCATTCATGGAATTTCTGCTCTGACTTCAACCTAACCCAAGTTCCTCTACTCTCCCGCACATGATGAATGATGCTTAAATTACTACGGGATTATTCAGGGAAAGGGTCCGTCCGGCTTCATTACTCTTCCCTTGCCGGCGAACTTGAATGAATGAAGCGGGATGACGAGTATTTCGGTCCACAGTAGTGCGCGCTCCCGTGTTCGGGAAATTACACATTTCACTTCCAAAGCTCCGGAACGGAAAAATAGCCTTTTTGTTCTGAAATCGTGTGCAGTTGCTGCACATTTCCGGACCCGTAATTACAATCCAATTACGGAGTATGTCAAAACCACTATATTTCGTAGTGGAATTTGAATTTTTTTTTGTTTGCGGGCAAGCTGCATCCATCAGTGAACCGGGGAGGGAGGACCAAAAGGACCTGTCAGGATGGAAAATAATAATCGTTTCGCCGTCATCGTCGTCGTAACTACACGCCACTTCAGGAAGCGAGCAGAAAAAGAAGGCGACCTACAGCGTTCATGTTCATCAACCGAGAAGAATGAAAGGAGGGAACGAACTTCCTTTTGAGATGTGCGAGGGAGCTTTTTGTTTCGAAAAAAGGGACAACAATGAATGGAGTGCAAATGGTCTTGTCCTATGCCAGCAACGACTTGACGCCGACTTCCGTTTCGAGGGAATGAAAAAAAGCAGTAACGGAAACGGGTGAAATGATGCAAGCGATTGTTGAAAATCATAATTCATGGCGGAGTTTTGCTGTGATGGCGATGAAAAGTTGCTTTTCTTACTGCCCCGTTGCACGGCTTGGAGAGGAGCGAAAGGATTCATCTTTCTTTGCGGGTTTTGTTTTTCTTGTTTGACTCAGCGTGTGATTACAAATGTCTTGCTGTCGGAAGATTTGTTGCCTGAGTTTTACTGCCAAGAAAGCTTCTGTGCTCAATAACTTCTTGAAGGTGTAGGTTTTTTTTCTTCTTCTCTCTGCCGAAACACTGCTTCAATGACTCAAGTCGAAATAGCTGTAGGTTTTGTGAGTGAAGTGAATGATACTTACCCTCGAACGCCCCCGGCCACCTCCGCTTCCAGAGTAGCTATCGAAGCCACCACGAGCTGGAAACTGTAACGAGAGAGATAGGTTATTCGATACTGTTAGTTTAGGGATTTTTGTAATGTAAGAAGTAAATAACACGTGCCAATGTCACACGCACACTTGCTTTAAATATTCACTCTAGGGTTGTTCAAATAAAAAAAAAATGTTCCAAAATCGGACTCCTATCCTTTCACATTGTTGAACGGAATGAAGGGTCTTCTGAACATTTTTGTCCCATTTCGATTCGAGCGATTGGATTTTTGTTTATAATATAATTCGTTGTAGAATATATACCTTCAGCTTTTGATTTCAATGACTTCACGCTATTTCAAAACTATCCAAATTCAGGTAGAATCCACTCAAATCGTTCAAAGCTGAACCTACCCAAAAATAGGTAAACTATGTTGGGAGTGACAAGTTGACAAATGAACAACGTCGATCGAATTCACGTCAATGTTGTCCATTTCTCAATTTGTCACTCCCAACATAGTTTACCCATTTTTGGGTAGATTCAGGTTTGATCAATTTGGGTGGCTTCTACCCAAATTTGGTTAATTTTGAAATAACGTATTCTCTTCTATGTTTACTTTTATATGGTACTAGCTGACCCGGCAAACGATCTAATGCACAGTTGTTTGATATAAACCCGTCAGAGCCCAAGACGAACAAAATAAAATATTGCGAGTCTACGAATCCGTTTTCGAGTTATGGCGTATCATTTGAACACCATTTCATTTTTTTTTATATTTGCTTTGTTTTCTGTTGAAAATAATGTAAAGGTAGCTCCACAACCAGTACCAGATTTGTTTATTTGTTTATTTGGCTGATACAATTTCATCTGACTTTAAGTCTTAATGATTGGGAAACACCAGTAAGATTTAGGCATAAAACCCCATATTTTTTAACATACACATAACAATTAAAGAACTTTCATAACAACGTTGAATAAAATTTCAAAATACAAGTACAGTATTCAGAGTTGGTTGGAACTGCTAACATGAAGCTTTAGTTATTATGATAATTTATTAGCTAGAGAATGATCTTAAGAAGAGGGTAGGTGGATAGGTGTAAATGTGTACTTTCAGTATATCAAGTCAAACAAATAATTGAAACATGTTTTGGATATTTTTCTAAAAACTTCACTTTTCTCAAAAATTATAACTTTGTTGTCCATTAATTATACATCTTGACCTATAATGCAATAGGTGGCATTCATTATCCTCTAACAACACTAACATATTCATAAGTTTTTATTTTAAATAAAAAAAAAACAAAAGAAAAAATTTTTAGAGTGCAATTTTTTATTCAAATGGTTTCTTCAACATCGTCGAAGGTACCAAACCGATTGCACAAATATTTTTCGAGAAACAGTTTTATGAAGATAAGCTTAACATTTTTATAGGCCCTTTTCAAAACCAAGGCTTGATTTAAAATGGCATTTTTGGTCATGAGGAACGTTTCTGAAAAAAATTTCAGCCAAATAAAAAAATATAAAAATTAATGGATTTGGGAATTCATCTGGAATCGCTCCTTTATTTTCCCCCCTGCACAAGTACATGTACCTGTGTTAGCATTGGGCGATCTTAAGGCGAGAATCGAACTCAGTGAAAATAAAAAAAATTCACCGATTTAATCAATCATTTTGAATCGATTCAAAATGGCACAAAAATTTTTCAAATATATCGGATCACAGGAAAGTTGTTGCAGATTAACGCCAAGTTCAGTCAGTGATATTAAGTAACATAAGCTATCTTGTTATGACATATCACTTATAAAAGTCATTTAGTGTGATGATTGATATCATTTAGAAATAAATTGTGTAGTACGTGCGCAGTAAAAGTTGTGATACATGATGATAATATAGTAAATTACTATTTTGATTTCATTTGACGTGTGGATACTTGATTAGGTGAGTGATTTAGAGAACATTTCTCGCGTCACTTTTCAAATCCACCATTTTGAGAAAATCGAAGTTGAAGTTCGACAGATTATTATTGTAACTGTTTAAAAACAATACATTTTGCAATACTATTTTTAATGTAGTCAGTGATTAATAACGTTGAAAATTCATAAGAAAGGGTAAAATCACAATTTTACTTTGAATTTCATGTTACAACATAGAAAAACCACATAGGACGTTTTGACAAGTCGAGTTGTCCATCGGACATGTTACATTGGACGATTTTTCTCAATGACATAATCAATGAGTGTTACATTGGACGTTTTGTGTACATGATACTAGATTCCCTTTCACAGATTTCAGAGTAGAGTACCTAACTTTAGATTGGCCCCACGTTTAAAAAATGAACACCAATCATGGTAGGCAGTCCGAATGACCGAAGCTACAATCGTGTACCCATCATTTAAAACTGTACATTGGACAATTTTTGATCAATGATTATCTTAAATAAATGAAAGTAAATTAAGATGGACGTTTTTGTATCACATACAATGATAGAAGAGCAATAGTTTGTATCGCTTAACTCGATTTGTTTACATTTGCTACTTAGGACCTTTTGAAAAGTGACGCGAGATTTGTTTAATTAGTATTAAATGATGTGAAAAACAGAAGTGGAAGAGAATGCGAAGTACTATACGAGAGCCGCACAGAGAGACGATTATAGAGCTTTTTGATGTTTAATCGGCGCACACTACTGCACCATTTAAATCGAATGAGCGCAAGCAAGAGAGAAACAGATTAGGGGTTGTTCATAAACTACGTAGATAGTTTAGGGGGGGGGGGCGACAATTATCCACGGCCCATACAAATAAAAAAAAAATTGTATGGACAATTATCTACGCAGTGGGAGGGGGTATCAAGAATCCCAAAAAACTGTCTACGTAGTTTATGAACAGCCCCTTAGTGAGAAAACAATTTCATCCATGTGTGTTAGATAGAGAAAGACAATTAAACGTCAAAATAGTCTATAATCATTTCTGGAGCCCCAAATTTTCTCTTTCTCGTTCTTGCCTACTTAATTGTCACACTGGTTGTTTGCAGAATCCATGTTCAAGGCAAGTGATGTTTAAAGGTGGAGACAAAAAAAATCAATATTAAATTGCACTGATTTTTTTTTTTTTTTTTTAAGGATTGATCCACTCGATTTTTGTCGTGTTTGAGATCGATTAATCGAACCAAAATAATAGATCTTTTGTGTGTTCGATCCTAGATAGCCCATTGCTTACCTGTGTACAAACCAGCGTTGCCAGATTGTTTTAAAGTTTATCGGTATCAAAGTTTTTAAAAAATCGGTAATTATCGGTATTTACTATTTTAATTTATTTTATATTTTAGCAGTTTTTGATAGCGAAAATTTTTACTTTTGCACTATGATCGGAAAATTCTGAAAGAAAACTTCGGGGAATGTTTGAATTAGCTTCTGAAAGAACATCTAGATAAAGAAGAAAGAAGCTCTTCTGGAAGAAATTTGAGGAAAATTCTAAAAAAAGTTGTAAAAAAATCCGGAAACTACCAAGACAAGAATTGAGAAACTTCTAGTGAATATTCAAAGAAACCATCGAAAAAAAAAATAGGATGTCACATCCAAAGGAAGCCAGAATAGTTTCGGAAATTGAAAGTAAATTCTAGAAGTAGTCAGTTCTAGGGAAAGCCAGAAGAAGCTCAGAAAAACCTTCCAATAAAAGCCGAAAACCTATGGCTTATGGACACACTTCCAGAAGAAGACGGAAGAAACTTCTTGAAGACGCTGGCAGACACTTCTAAGGTAGATTGCAAGAAACTTCTGGAGAAATTCGGAAGCCAGAGCGCCTACGGAACAGTCGAAAGAAACAAGGACCTAATTCCGGAAGAAAGAGATTTCTGGGGGATGTTCTTATGATCCAGAAAATTTTCCTGATGTTCATAAAACAACCATGAAGACCCCACAATGCTCTTGAAGTTGTACTTAGGAATATTCGATAATTCTACGGAATTCCTTAAAAGTTCTTGTAATATTCTTGAAGTTAATGGGGCTGTTTTAGAATTCTTTGATCATCCTCCAAGTACTCTGAACTTCCTTCATTATAATGAGGCTACAAGAATATCTATAATCATCTTTGACTCTCTTGAAGATTACGAAATTTATTAAGTGCTCTCACAATTTTCTTGAATTTATTGTATCATTAGCATTGAAGATCTCTGATCTTCCTAATTTTTAAAATTTTAGTTCTTGGCACTGCCATTAAAAAGCACGGAATTTCCCATAAAATGTTCTTACAATGTTCTAATGTTCATGTAACTTCCCTTACGTTTCCTAAATTTGTGAAATATTACCTGAGTTTCTCGGAAATCCTTTAAAATATCAGCATTTCCTTGAAATCAATTGATCTTTTCTGATGTTCACGGAGCTTCCCTAAAGTTCTTTCAACTCTCTGAAACGAATTTAACTTTCCTGAAAACCATTAAATTTCCCTGAAGTTCTTTGAACTAGTGAAGTTTCCAAAATATTTCTGATGTTTTCGTAGGTTCACTGAAGTTAATGAAACTATCTTTAATTTATCGGAGCTTACTCAAAAGTCTAGACTTTTCTAAAGTTTCAGAACTTCTTAAAAGTTTTTGCAGCTAGTTTGAATCCGCAATATAAATCTGGAAACCTCGCTGAAGTTCAGGGGAAGTTGAAAAAAAAAAAACTGGCGGGAGAAGACGGAAGAACCATTTGAGTGAGGGCTGAAGAAGCTTCCAAGGGAAGTTGAAATAAGTTTTCGGGAGGAATCGTGAAATAAGTTATGGTGTAAGTTGGAAGAAAATTCAGGAAGTTAGAATTGAACAAAAGCTTTAGGATGTTAAAAAATATTTAAAAAGTATTTCGCGATTCTCTAGGAATAACCGGAAAGAGCCATGGACAGTTTCTCGAATCATGGGTAGCCAAAAACGGTGAAGAAATGGAAACATTAGTCAAAAGTGTATCAAGCATATGACATTTTCAAAGATTATTTTTTTATGAATTGTGAGGGTTCAAAAATTTGGGTTATTTAAAAAGATACAAGTTTCTTACAGTGATTTTCTCCAAAATTCGAGTACGGTTAGG